TGTGTGTGTATGTGTTTCATTCATCCATTATATGTTGTTGTTGTTGTTGTTGTTGTTGTTTGGGTTGTACTACGTTGGTTAGTTATTAGTGTTATTTTCAGTATATATTCTTTTTTTTTGCCATCAAATGGCTGGCTGATCAAATATTTAATACGAAAACACACACACACACACACACACACAGGCTCATTTTTTTGTTTTTTTTTTTTTTCATTCTTGAATCTCTTTTGTATAGGTATATCGTATAATTATTCTCATACAGGTAGATAGATAGATAGATAGATGGATAGAATCCAGTCTTTTAGTATTGTTTTTTATTTCCATCAACAGCCACTAACCATCGAAAACAAAAACGTTTTTTTGTTCATCAACAACATTCATGTACAGAAATAAAACAAAAACAACATTAGAGCAAATGAATAGAACAATCTCTCTAACCAAAAAAAAAAAAAAAAAATTATCCGGTCATTGTATGATTCCATAATGATTAAACCTGAAAAAAACCACCTGGATCGGATATATTCCTTGGAAATTTAAAGAAAAAACAAACATTATCTCATCATCTTCAGCTGTCAATGTTTGCTGGTTTGTCTACTGTGTGTATATATGGGCAATTCAAATTGAAAAAAAAGCGGCAAAAAAAATTGGAAAATGGAAACTTTAGTGCAAAAAAAATCACAAAAAAGAGTTGAATTTGTATTACCGCAGGTCAAGTTTCAAAAAAAACAAACTTTTTTTGCACCAACATTCTGGAAATGACATGTTTGTTTACCGAGCAAAAAAAAAATGAATAAATCTCATGATGATGATGATATCTACTGTGTAACATCATCTACATCATCGTGGTTTGTTAGTTGATAATTTACGTGGACCAAAAATGTTTTGTTTGAAACTAATGGCTTGTGTGTGTGTGTGTGTGTGTTGTCGGTTTTCCAAGACTTGAACCAAAAAAAAGAGCGAAAAAAACCAAAAATTTTTTTTTTTCGTTTCTCATTAACGGTTTTATGTTGTTTTTTTTTGTTGAAATTGTTACTGTTGTGTTTGTTTGTTGTATGGTGGTTGGTTGGTTGGTTGGTTGTTTGTACGGATTTTAATTTGTTTTCATCATTTCTTTTTGGCCCCTGTGTGTTGAAAATTTCATGGAAGCTCATTATAAATGTAATTTTTTTTCCATCATTCTCTCGAGGTACATTTTCTATGGTCATGTGGTGAATAATAATGATTACAGTGGTGGTGGTGGTGGTGGTGGTGGTGAAAACTAGAGTTTTTTATTTCATTTCATTGTTACTACCATTACAATGATTTCTGGTTGATTTATTTATGAAACTTTTTTTTGTGTTCATTTTTTTTTCTCATCTAATGAAACACGTCGACAATATTTTTTTTTTTTTACTTGATGAACACCAGTAAATGACTGAATAAATGTAATATCTATCTACCTACATACACACACACACCATAGGTATACAATTAGAATTGATTTGTGTGTGAATTGAAGAGAATTTCATCTGTGTGTTGTTTTTGTTTTTTTTGCTAGAATTTTATTTGTCTAGAATCGGCCTGGATTCATTGTTCATTTTAATTGAGTTTTCTTTTCTCTCTCTCTCTCTCTATCTCTAATTCTGATTGAAATTAATGTCGAAAGAATTTGTATTTCAGAGAATACGAGAAATTTAAATTGAATTTCAAATAAAAAAAAACAAAATGATAATTGAGCAAATCAACGTCATACTGGCAATTTTTTCAATTTAAAACAAATATAAATAAATTATATATATGCCCATTGTGAATTCTTGATCTTCAGAAAAGTTTCAAACACTTATTCCAATGGCTGGTTGATGATTTTGAATTGAATTGATCATTTTGTGTTGTTACTCTAATGGATATGGACTTTAATTTTATTTTCTTCTGTCATCGGTTCGATCATTGAAAACTTTTTTTTTCTCTTTATTTGAATTTGTCAACAAGTTAATTGGTCGGTTATTTGTTCATTTGATCGTTGGATAAAGTGGTTCGCTTTTTATTCATTCATTCATCCATGTTACTGGATCGTCGTCGTTGTTGTATTTTTTTTATAGTTCTTGAACCATGTAAAATGACGACAACGACAACAACAATAAATGAATGTGTGTGTGTGTTTAAAGGCAACATTTATTGCTCACTTGAACAAGTTGACATCATTTTCAATTGACTTTGTCATAAAAAAAACAAAACAAAACAAAACAGACAAAAAAAAATAAACATTAAATGTTCCGTATAATGGAAAATGTCATTGTGGGGGTGGAAACAACAACAACAACAAAATTTTATCCTTGTTGTTGTTGTTGTTGTTTTTTTTTTTTGATTCACATCCTAAATATACTATGATGGTCGTTTGTTACAAGCTGCAAACCATGTTTGTGATGTTTCATGTTCTCAATGTGGATTGCCAATACACACATTTTTTTATTTTACTTTCACATGTTTTCATTTTTTTATTCGATACTTTAAACATTCTATATGTATAGAATAAATAAATAAAGTCATTATATATTTGATCAATAAAAATTAAAAGAAAAAAAATTGGAACAAGAATCATCGATGCGAATACAAGTGTTGTCTAGATTCTGTAGAAAAAAAAACTTACCAGCAACAGCGACAACAACAACAACAACATTGGCGATAATAATTTTATTTTTTTATTTATTTGGCATTTCCAAACAACCCATGAACGATGACGATGATGATGATGATGATGATGATGATGATGATGATGGTCATAAACAAGATTAAACAATTATATTTGGCCAAAGACTTATTATTATCCACTGTGGTGGATATAATTTACAATCAACAACATCTTTTTTTTTTGGTTCACATCTGGCCATCATGTAATAATTAGGTTATACGAAGTGAATTGAATCCAAAATGTCATCAATTTCAATATTAAATTTTGAGGTTGCTATTTTTTTTCCATTTCCAAGTTTTCAATTTCGGTTTTCGTATTTGGTTATATGTGTGCAACACACTTGCCATTTATGCTAGAAATGTATTTTTTTTGTATCATAGAAAACAGAATATTAGCTGACCAAATTAAATGGAAAAGAAAAATCATCTGCTACTTGCTTGCTTGTTTTTTTTTCTTCGTCAAATGAAAAAGATGTTTTTTTTTGGTTTGGTTTGGTTTGATAGTTGTCAATAATAAATGACATATATGTACTGATGATAAACAAAACACACACACACACATGTGGTCCATCTGAATATTGTAAACAAAAATGATAGCATTAGAGAGATATACATGGAGATTGGATGATAGAAAAAAAAACATACATGAATGGTGATCATCATCATCATCATCATCAAATCAAGAATTCAATCGATGATGATGATGATGATAATGTAATTTACAATCAATCAATAATGAAAGAGAAACAAAAACTATTCGATCAACACGAAATAATTGAATCATTATAGATTGATTCGAATTCGATTCACACATACACACACACACACTCGATTCTGTCCATCGTGTACATGTATAATAGAATCCAAAATAGAATTTCATTTTTATCCGGAATAATAATAATAATAAAAAAACTTAAAAACGGCAAAAAAATTTTTTCGAGCAAAGAAAAAAAAATCCATCTAGATATAGATTATTTCAAAGTTTGTTTAAATTGCATTTGAAACTTTTTTTTTTGATTCTTGCAAAAAAAAATGAAATAAAAAAACCCATAGAATTATGATTTATAAATATATGAATTATATGATTTATATAAATCGAAATGAATGGTAGACGAATAAAAAGTTTAACGTACTCGTCGTCGTCGTCGTCGTCGTTGTTGTTGTTGTTGTTAAAACCAGAAGAAGAAGAAAAAAATCCATTAATTTTGACTTTTTTTCCTCCCTTGGTACAATTCTGATTTGGTTTGATACTCTTTTCCATCTATCTATATCCAACTGCAAGTCGTTTTATTTCTCGACATTGAATCTACATTGACATTTTTCATTTTTTTATTCCACATCTTTAGAGCTAGTTTTCAACATATAGAAAAAAAATCAAAGTTGTTGACAGAGAGAGAGAGAGAGAGAGAGAGAGAGAGAGAGAGAGAGAGAGTATATACACACTTAAATGCCATTATTTTTCTTTCAATTTTTTTTTCTGGGCAATTAATAATTTTTTTTTTCATTTCATTTTTGGATCGTACCGCTTTATTATTATTATTATTATTATTGAAAATGATCCAGAAATGGCATGTATGTGTGCATGTGTATGTGCCAATTGATTGATTGAACGAAAGAAAAAAACGGTTAGATATCAGCCAACCGTCAAACGATTAAAAACCGCCTACACATTGAAATAGAATTTCATCATCATTATGTATCTGTCTATGTATGATCAATACTATCAAAGAATGATGATAATGATAATGTTTCGAACAAAATTTTCGTATACGTAGTTTAATAATAATAATAATATTCTATTTTAGAGATTGATTCTTTGATTTTTTGTTTTGTTTTGGAGCATTCTAGACTCTATGTTGACAATCAATTCTTGTTGATTGAAACAATTGACAAATAAATCGATCGTTGCGTTAGTAAAGGTTGCCATTGACAAGAGTTGGGTGAATATTGCTGTTATCGATTGTTGATGACGATCATTCATTGTCTTGGATCTAGACAATTTTTATTTTTGTTATGATTTTTCCCTTATGGAAATATGGAGAATGGTAATGAGCGAAAGAATAACGTAGAAAGATATGGATTGAATCTCAAAGTGATTATGACGTTTTTTTCTGGTTGTAAACAAAACAAAACAAAAAATAAAATAAATTGCTTAGAAACACGCAAAGCGATTTATGAACAAGGATATTCAACCAAGAATCGAACGCGTGTGCTTGTGTAATTGTGCGTGTTATCATTCATTTTTCATTTCTTTATGCAAAAAAAAAATTTTTCTTTTTACATTTGCATAAATCAAAATATTTATTATCAATATTAGAAAAAAAATTGCAACAAAATATCAATCAATCAATCAATTAGTAAAACAATTTATCAGAAAATAATCGTAAAAATGTATTGCCATTGATTATTGAACTAGCCATAATAATAATCGGTATTGATATTTGTTTTGATAAAAAACGTAATGACGATATTTCAGCATACGTTATACCGCCGGCAAATAATATCATTTGTATTCGTTTCGCTTTCGATTGCCAATCACGACCAACATGTTGATTTGGTAATAAATTTGGTTGCAATTTACAATGATTTTGTTTACACCATTCTTCTATTTGTGAAAGATTTTTTGTATCGAAAAAATTTTGCATCAATTTACAAATATATGGACAATATGAACCACCATATACATAGCCACAATCGGTTGGAACACGTGGATTATAATGTTCAGTTTCAAGTAATGGTATTAGATTGGATTTTTTTACAATATGACGAAATTTTTTAATCGTTTCCGATGTTGATGAACTGACCAATGGTAATGTTGTGGCAGCCAATTTTTGTGCCGTACTGGATGCAATCAGATTGAATTGATTAGTACTTTCATAAAGGATTCCAATCTTTTTCAAATAATAAAATGTAGTTATATGATGATGGCCATAACTTTGTGTGTATAATCGAATTAGATTATTTAATTCTTTATTCGAAATACCGGAATAACAAATCGAATACAAACATATTAGCCGAAGCATTTGTGTTTCCGGCAATAGTTTAATAATACCATCTTCAATAAAATTCATTGCCGTTCTTGATTCAATTCCTTCAATCATGTTCTGTTCGATACGTAATTGATCCGAGAATTTTGTCAATTTCTTTTTCTCCATAATGGATTCACAAATTGTTAAATCTATTTGCAAAACAAAAAAAAAAATAAAAAATCATTATCAACATGGACTCAGAATCTTTCAGGAAACTTACGAGAAAATAGTAGTTTATGTTCAGATTGTAGATTACTAATTTCTTTAGTAAGAAAATTTTTCATTTCACTTAAATTCATTGTCTGTCGTTCATAGGATTTTTGTCGTAATTTTTGTCCTTTTTCTTTCAATGTAGAACAAACAGATGAAAAAAATTTATCCTGTACATCGGCAAATATTTGATCATTTTTCAATAGATTATGTTTGATTGAATTAACATCCTGTTTTTGATTACAACAATCATCAGGATTGAATGGAATTTTCCCACAATTAATCGAAAATGTTTCATCAATGATTCCGGAATAATTTAATTGTGATAATAGTAATGCGACATAATCTTCTTCACGATCAAAAACAAATAAATCTATAAGACAATCTCTAGATGAATCATCAATTACGCCGGAAAAAGCATTCAATTTTTGTAGATTATTACAAATGAATTCAGAAGCACGACCTTTAGTTATGACCAAATTCATATGGCCAAATAATCTTTGAAAATGATGCATAGCTTGAACAACGTTGTTCAAAAATTGATGATCACCCAACTAAAAAAAACAAAATTTTATACAGAATAAGATTTAAAAAAAATTTATGGCAAAAGATAAATAAATACCAAAAGATAATCATGATAAAGATCTTTTTGTTCCAATGAAAATAAATCATTATCGAATGGTATGAATCCAAGTGGATATTCCCAAATATTGAAACAACTATAAAGACCTTCTTTTTCCAGATATTTTTCACAATCAAAAGTTTTTTTCGGTACAAAAATTATCCAATATTGTATATCTTGAATATCTTTACTATGGAAAACGTTGAGCCAATTACAAACTTGTTTTACATCATTAATATTCGATTGTATGATGAAACATAATCTGAAACAGAAATCAATAAATCATCAATTAATGAATTGAAAAAATTTGGTTGTCTAAATACTTTTTATTTGTTGCCGTTGGTATATTATTAATTTTGTATATTTTTTCAACACCAACTTCCTAAATCAATGATGATGAAAAAAAAACAATCAGATTAATTGTTTGTCGAATTCACAGTGTCCAATGATCAAAGATCAAAGTTCTATGACTAAAACTGACCTTCATCGATGTATAGCTACAAATCAGATCAATAATGGATACAATGAGACCGCCCAATACAATGTCTTTGGAGCCATCAATCTAAATCGATATAAAAATTTCAAAAATGAATATAATAATTATGATTTATGATTATTGATACATGAAATGATGTTGACATTTGGTCGGCACCTTTTTGAGCAACGATAACAACATGTTTAATGAAAAATTTTTGATTGTACTAGAAATGGAATGACTATTGCTATCACGATCCATGTTCAAATGACAAGTGCAACGATGATTGAAGTGTTGACAATTTTATTTTTCGTTGATAAAATGAAGAAAAATGAATTCGATTGTCACAAATTTGAGATCAATTTAGCCGAAAGTTTTTGTGAGAACGTAAACGAAAAACTGATCGTCCGGGTTAAAATAGGCTTTGTTGAGTTTTTTTAGACAACAACTTGTTGAATTCATCGAATTTAGAAGTTTTTTTTTAATTACCATCAAATGTCACTTGTTATTGCAGTGAGGATTGAAAATATTTCACAAGTCGTCATCAAAAGAAGTGGATTGACAGCAATAATTAATCAAAAATGGTGAGTTTTTTTTTATTAAATTTCATTTTTAGATCCGATATAATGATTGTTTTGATTTGAATGAATAGCAAAAATCTCGAAGCCAAGAAGAATTGACTTTTAGTCAATCGTCTAATACTTTTCAATTTCCTCCTGCTTCGGATTATCTACAGCTACCGAGATCACCAAAATCACCGAAATCACCGAGATCACCAAGATCCCCAAGATCCCCGAGATCCCCGACAGCAATTAGTCCACCGCAAAGTCCTAAACCTAATCCAAGTTATCATCAGCCTGAAATATTACAACTGAATGAAGATTCACATACATGGAAAATAAAAGCAACAAAACAACAACAAAACATACAGAAAAGTAATAAGAGTCTACAATTTTGTTTCGGGAAATTGCAATCATATCTAAAAACTGAAAATGCATTCGAATTTCGTTTCAAAATTATTGTGGCATTTTTGTTCTTGTTAATCTGTTGTATTGTAATGATGACAAGATATTTTCATTATAATCTTCAGATTAGTCAAGCATTACATGATCAAATATTGATGTTTAAATCACAGAAAAAGATAACATTTTTAAATGATCGTGGTGATAACCTTGTTGATCTTCATTTCGGTCTTCATATACCAAACGATATTAATCCATTTAATTGTCGTTCGATTAGTGAAGATGATAAAATATGTTTTGATTGGAAATATCGAGCACATTTATCGGTGAAAGTTTCAAGAAAAAAATTTACCAATAGTTTTGGACATAATGAAACTATTACCTGTTATAATCATTATTGGCGTACATATCAAAAATATTCTGCACTCAAAGATTGTTTTGATATGAATAATGGATATTGGTTTGGTATGGGTGATATTTATAATATTCAAATTCCATTGAATAAAATGTCGGTAGAAGAACAACCATTTATAACTAGTCATAATCATTCGGCAATATTATCCGGTTCAATCATAGATCGAACATGGTATTCAAGCCATGGTGTAATGATTAACGTACCATTAGATGTACCATTATTTGTTTCGATCAATTCATCTGAAGATCCAAATCGTTTATGTTTGATATCGAAAAAAAATTTTCCATATTACATGAACAATCAGAATAGCTATTTTGCTCATCTTCATTATTCAATTTGTTTGGCACAAAGTATAACAACATTGCAGAATTATTTATTCGAACGTAATGCTCATCAACAGCAAACAGTGACAGTAAACGAAAAATCTAAACAACAGCCGCTCATTAAAATCAACCAAGAACAAGATGTAGAAAATTTTTTTATCGATCATATAATTTGGTCAACAAATGACAATGTATTGCCTAATTTTACACAACAAAATGTACAATCATATGTTGATCAGATTACCAATTATGGTTTTGGTGGTATCATTTTGTTGGATTCACGATGGGAAAATTCCATTGGTGAATTACGGATGAATGAAAATGTTTTTAACACACCAAAAGCATTGATCAATATTCTGCATAACAAAGGATTCAAAATCATGTTGACCATATCACCAAATGTTGATCTGCAATCAGAATTGGTGGAAAATGCTAACAAATATATAATGTTGGATCAATATCTTCAGACACCATTGATGACAAGATGTACAAATAATCTAAAGAAATTATGTGCTTTGGTCAATTTTACCGATGTCGATAATCGGGAATTATTTCGTAACAAATTGAATCAACAATTGCTTAATCATTCAACTGGTCTATCGGTTGATGGTCTTTATTTTCAAAGCATTCGATCATCATTATTGCCACGTTATATTAATTATGATCACAATATTAATCCAGATCAATTTGTTGAATATTTGAACCGAGTGATTAAATCATTACATACATCGGTAGGAATTTCGACATCTGTAGTTTCGAAAAATTTCACTGGTTATGCTCAACTTTATCCACGTGATTCATCATGGAAAGGTTTACAAAGCATTATTCCATCAGTGTTATCATTAGGATTGATTGGTTATCCATTGGTCAATACCGGTGTTGTTGGTGGAAAAGATCTTTTCACCAAGATTAAAAATGATACTGGCTATATAAACAAAGAACTATATCTTCGTTGGCTACAATTGGTCATATTCACACCGGTAGTAGAATTTGCTGAACCACCTGGTGGAAATGATTTAGATGTGATTAAAATAGCAAAACGTTTGCATAAATTACGAAGTGAACATTTTATGCCTAAAATGAAATCTGCATTGATCGAACATCAACATAAAGGTTCACCGATCGTAAGACCAATGTGGTGGAATGAAAAAAGTGATAATGAATCATTAATGATTAATGATCAATTTATGGTTGGCAATGATATTGTTGTTGCACCGATCATTGAAGAAGGTAAAACTGAACGTGACATTTATCTACCACGTGGTTGGTGGAAAGATGAAATACTTGCACAAGTGATACGCGGTGGAAAATGGATGCGTAAATATCAGGTACCATTGGATAAGGTGGCATTTTTTATTCGTACTGAACCAAGTTTAACATTACCGATACAGAAAAATGAAATAACCAAAACAAAAACCAAAATATAAATAGACCAAAATCATTCAAAAGACCAAATTATCTCCACAAATTTTTTTTTTTTTTTTTATTTATCATTTTATTTTTTTTTTATTATTATTATTTAGAGCTTTTATTTAGTTTTCTATCTAATACATTTACAAACAGAATCATTAAAAAAAAATTTTTTTTTCATTCAAAATGTTTTTGATTCAAAATTTGTTTCGAAATCATATCGGATAAATCGGCAAGAAATTTTTCCATTGATACATATCGTTGTTTGCCATCATCATCATCATCATCATCAATGAATTTTGCTTGCATATAATAATCATAATTCATAGCGAATGTTAAGAATGGTAATTTTCGTAATGAACGTCCAGATAAATTTGATGAACAAATCAAAGAAATTTCTTTCAATTTATTATTATGATCAAAATTTAAAGTAGAATTTTGTACAACGTTCATACGATGCCATGGTAGAAATTCTGTATCTGGATCAAATCGTATTACTTGTGTGACGATCAGTTCACGTATACTGGAACGTAATATTTCATATACCATTTTTGATGATGGTAGATCAATATATTGTATAATATCAGCTCTATCAACAAAAGCATTATCCATTGATTTTGAAACATTCGATGTGGCCAAAATGATTATATTCGGATATTGTTTGATTGTATCTAATTGTGTAAGTATAGCGTTTACAACACGAATAGCATCGGTTGGATCGGCACTATTGATTCGTTGACGATCATAAGCCAAACTTTCAACTTCATCAATAAGAACGAAAATCATATTGGTTGGATCTTCGGCAAATTCACGAATACTATCGAATAATTTCAAAACTAATTTTCCACTCTCAGAAAACCATTTAGAAAACAATGAATGAGAATTGATTTCAATCAATTGAAAATTATCATAATGTTCGGCCATCATAATCGATACTTTCTGACACAATGCTTTACATAATGTTGTTTTACCTGTTCCAGGTGGTCCATGTAACAGTAATACTTTATTTATATTGATAAACGATTGATTGATTCGTGATTTACATGATAATCGTATTGCAGCATGAATATAATTGAGTAATTTGATTTTTAAATTCGATTCGAACATCAAACTGTCCCAAAGATCGACAAAATTTTTTGAAGGTAAAAATGTATGAAATGTACATGGTAGATCCTCTTCAAACAATTTTGCATAGTATCATCATGAAGTTTATTTAAATAGATGCCGATATAATTTATGAGATCTTTATCATGGTTTTTAATCATATCTTCAATGCATTTACACACCACCATCATCATCATCATCATTATTATTGATATTGGCAATAGAATCGACGGTTATATTCATTTGTATGGAATCATCCAAAGGACATGATAATTTATAATGGCCATTTTCAATGGTTTTTTTCAACCATTCAATTACGTTCGAATTATTTTCTTTTAAATATTCATCAATTTTTTCTTAAATTCTTACATTGATTTTCAGAACAAGTGGAATCGAGTAAAATTTCCAAATGGAACGGTTTGGTTGAAGTCATCATTTTTTTTTAAATTTTTACATTCAACGGTTTTTATCAAACGCGTTTGCATGTGTTCGAAGCATGTGCAGATGGAAAAATTTTTCTATGATCAACACGCATGTTCACATTTTTTTTTTGTTTCTATTATCGTGTCGTTCAAAAATATCAGGAATAATGGTCAAGAACAAAAAATTTTTTTGACTGAAATTTGAAAGAAAATCAGAAAATAAATTCAGGCTTTTATTACATACAACCCCAAAAAAAATGAAATTATTTACAATCCAATTCCATTAGAATTATTATTTGCACATTTTTTTTATCAATATCCTAGGTTTTAAAAAAAAAAATCAATCAATCAATGATGATGATTCTCCAGATTATACAGAATATACAATGGGACTAGTAGACAAATAAAAATGATAATCATGATTAAATATTTCCAATGAATACCCAAATCTGATCCATCACAATGGGCAGATGTTTTTGTTGATTTAACCGATACGATGGTTATATGATCATCATCATCATTACTATTATTATCATCAGTGGCCATAATATTTTCTTCACTTTTACTTTGATTAAATTTTCTTATTTCTTCAAGATCTTGACATAAATTATTTAAAAATTTTTTATAATTTTCATTATTATCATCATCATTTGTCAAATATTTCGAAATGCCAATATTGATCACTTTTGTTTTTGTTGACAATGTTTTCGATGGTTCCTGTGTAACATCAACTAAATCATCAACAAAATATGTTCGTTGATCATCTTGTTGTTGTTGTTGTTGTTGATCACCATTAGTTGAATCGGTTAGAAAACCATGTTTAATAACAGGTATTCGTATCACTTTTAATACATAAAAATCTTGATCCGACATCATATGATTCAAAAAACGTAATTGTGAAATTGAACAATTGAAACGTAAAGCAATACCTTGTAATGTATCATTCGGTTGTATGTTATGTTCAATTACATCATAACGATTTGGATCCACATATGATGGTGAATTTGAACCATTCCTCGATGATTGTCGTGATCGTGATTCTTTAGTCGAACGATTTTTAAATTCAAATGATTCATAATTGGTGGTGGTAGTATTTGTCGTCGCATCATGATCATCATCTTCATTAATAAGTTTATGATACATTGGATGATATTGTTGTCGTTATGGACATTAAATTAAATTTTTTTTTTAAAGTAAAAACAAAAAAAAATATCCAGTGAATATAATGAAAATAATATTGCATCTTATGTGGAAACAATGAAAAAAAAATATGTAAAATTAGCAGCAGCAGCAGCACCACCACTGTATGATGATTTGATTATCCAAAAAATAATACATTGAATCACGTATGGTGCATGGATCAAAACCAGAAATGATTTTTTTTTTGCAAAATAAAAAACCAAAACAAACAAAAAAGTTTACTCTTATGCGTGTGCACAACAACAAGTTATTGAATTTCAATTGCGATGTGGCAAAGTTTTTGTTTCCAACACTGTTGCATGCATGCAAAGAAAATTTTTTTCCCAAAAAACTTTTCCAACTTTAAATTAAAAATTTTTCCGTCATTTTTTCCCAGTTTTTAATTTAATAAAATAAAATAGTAAAATGAATAGAATTGAATTACAATGGAAATTTTTTTTCCAATGTGAAATAATTGATAATTTCAAATGATTAAAAATAATAATGGTAATTATGGAATTTGTTATTTTTTTTGCGTTTCAAAGACAACAAAAAACCAACTCTATGTGACTGCAACAAGTTCTACTTCAAAATTCAATGTTGAATCAGCCGGTATTGGTCCCATTCGTCGTTTTCCATATCCCATATTTGATGGTATCATTATTGAACGTTTTCCACCCACTTTCATACCTTCAACACCAATCTCTAAACCTTTGACCACTTCACCATGACCTAAACGAAATGAAAATGGTTTGCCACCACCAGAACGATCAAATTCTTTATTATTATTATCCGGTAATTTGCCAACATATTTTACATGTACCTAAATTGAAAAAAGAGAATATTATTCCTAGCCCACACACACATACAAATCACATACATATTTTCCTTTTTTGACCACAGGACCATGTCCTTCATGCATATCGGTTATTTTCACTCCTCCTGATAATTGTTTCCAATCGGTCTATATATATAGAAAAATTAATCAGGTAACAAGAGAGAACAAAAAAAAATTAAAATTAAATCAAAGGCAAAGAAATGGATAATTTATTATTGTAAGTTTTTGGATAATTTTTGTTGTTCAGTAAACATTGAAGAAAAAAAAATGAAAATTAATGGTTAAAGATCATTATGTGTTGATTGATTTTGGATAAAAAAAAACAGAATACTATCCGAATTTAAAAGAGATGCATCAAACACAAAAGTAGTCAGACAAAAAAAAATTTTTTGTTCTAATTCATAGAGACACGGCCTTTTTTCTTCTGATTAAAGTTGTTGAATTTGTTGCTTGCCTTTTGATTACCCGGTGTCCATGGTCCTTTCTGTTGTTTCTGGAATTTGTTACCACTGCCACCACCACCACTTTGTTTTTGATTGGAAAATTTTTGTTGTTGTCCACCTTGTTTCTGATTGTTAGGTGTACCACCAAATTTCGGTTTCTGTTGTTGTTGTTGTTGATTCGGTTTTTGTTGCTGCTGTTGATTTTGTTTCTGTTGATTCGGTCCTTTAGCATTTGTTTGCGACATTTTCATTTGTCCATTAGCTTTGGCAGATTCAGCTTTATTTCCGATAGATTTTGCTACAAAAAAAAATTTAGAATTAGAAAAAAATTTATAAACATGAAGAATGGATCTAACCTGGTAATTTAGCAACAATTTCTTCATCATCTTCTTCGTCATCCTCTTCATCATCTTCTTCGTCGTCATCATCATCATCTTCATCCATATCTGCATCAAGTTTACCCAAAACATCTTCACCAAATTCATCATCATCTTCTTCATCGTCTTCTTCGTCATCATCATCATCAGCTTGATCAACACCATTAGAAGTGGTCTTGGTCTTTTTCAATGCTACATCATTATCAAGCAATTTTCGTTTACCCATGTCGATCTTGAGATCTTCCTCTTCATCTTCTTCTTCATCATCGAATTCATCATCATCGTCATCAAAATCCATGATATAACCAGTCAAATGGACTGTTCCTTCACCATTTAAAAAGAATGTCACTTCTTCACCTTCAGTGAAAATCAAATCTAATTCAGTTTGAAGTGTCATTTTGGAATCCAAAGTACAAAGCAAATATTTTGTTTTATTCTGTTCCATCATAACTTGAACACGTTGTTCGGTTTCTGGTTTTTTCAAATCAATCTCTAATGAAGCTTTCGAGATATGATAACTCATTTCAACCGTTTGTGAATAACGGCGTCCAGGAAGAATTGTTACACCTTTAATGGTAGAAAAAAAATGAATAAAAAATCATTATCATTATTAAAATTAATTTTCATCATCAACATGATTATCATCATCAGGATAACTAACCCCAAAACATTTTTAATGTCGTATGTTTAAATTAATAAAACAAAAGAAGAAAGATGATGAATTAAAGAAAAGATGAATATGATGAAATGAAAAACGTTAAGATTGAAAATTGGTTATGATCAAAAAAAAAAAACAGGCATGGAAGCAATGCCGATCATCAGAAAAATAAGAGACAAGTTAAAATGACAACGTGCGTCGAGTTTCGAGCACTTTATAGCTGCTGCAGAGCAATGGCGGCGCTACATTACAAGCGATATAGTATACTCATGGAAAAGACTGATTCTCGAACATGCCATCTAGTGGCCAACAGAAAACTTTAACAACAACATTTTCGATTTCGAAAACGCGCGTATTTGACGCTTGAATGTTGGCAAATGATGAACTTGATGATGATGATGAAAAAAACAAAATTCAGATTCGAATATTGGGAAAAAAACTTATTGTAGATGTTGAAAAAAAAAACAAATTCTGCACATATTAACACGATCGGTAATGGCCAAGGTTAGTTTTTTTTAAAGAACTAATTTTATTTCAATTTCTCCAACAGGTCGACGATGGCCAACCAGGACATTCAAATCATACAAATCAATCAGGAAATATGGAAATAACAAATATAAAATAATGTGTAAAAAATATAACATAAAAATAGGGAGAAGTTGCACAGATTTTCTACAAAATTATCGTTGGCATGGGCAGTGTATATTGAATAAAACTTTATTTTTGTTTCATCCGTTTTTTTTGTGTCTTCTGCTTGTGCATATAAAAACGCATCTCGACTAAGTTACCTGTACAGTGAATAATTCGAGATAGAGTTTACGAAATTTTGATTGGCCATACAAATGGGAAACAATTTCGATAATTTTGATTTTGGTGAATATTTATACCGTTTTGGTTTAAATAATCCTAATTGTTCGTTTTGCTCTTCATTGACACGTAGTTGTCGTTACATTTATTGCTCGAGTGTCCTGATTTTCATTTCGATTTTGCAATGAATTTTTTTCGATTCAAATTCCAATATATGTCAGGGAATTATTATGATTTTATGAAAATACAACAAAGCTGAAGAAGCTGATTGAGTTCATCTCTTGAATTCGATGCTCACCACGAATCCAATGTCGTTGGAGAAGAAATTTTTGCTATTGATGAACGCGTTGCCGGATACATCATTATAAAGGCCATTTTTAATTTTTTCACGAGCGCATTCCATCATATATAAATCATGTGATGGTATCCAAAATCATTCATGAATCTTCTTATAGCATTCCAATTTGTTATGAATTAATTGGAATGATGATCACTTTATTTAGTCACTGATGCAATACTTGTGTGTTCATATATGCCTTGCTCGGATTCGGAATTGAAACAAACTGGTCGACGTTTTGGTTTGGATTTATAAACTCATTGGTCAAATTTTATTTACATGTGAATTTTCAATGGAAGCATCAATTACAGCCAATAATGGGATCCATTTTCTTTCGGTGTTTAACAAATTAATCAAAAAAATTTCTGCTGAATTAATAATTCTAGCAGCTATTTTAAAATCACAATTTGTTGATTCATTTGATTCACCATTGAATTGATTTTGATGATCTTGATCGGATTGAATATTGTATTTGTCGCTTGACAATTAAGGTCGAACTCTTGGATTTTGGGTTTTGAAATAATCATCATTAATTTTATTAAACTCGATGATAATGATGTTGTCGTGTTCGAGTGTGAATGTGTTATGTGCGGACTCGGAATTTACGGTTGGAAACATGCTCGTTTTTCTCACCGCCATTCTCGATCGAAATAGGAAGAGGTTACAATAGGCAGGAATATGTGCAGCTAGTTGACTGCTATCTATCAACGATTTTGAAAATTTCAAATTCTTTTTTTTGTGGATAATTTTGTTTTTTGTTAAAAATTCATTTTGAATCAAAAAAAAAGTTTACAAACATATATTGTTACATAATTTCAAGTTTAGAATTATCATTTGGATTTTTCTGATCAATACCCGAAATGGAACTATTTCGTTTAGCTTTGGCCAATGAATTTTGATGTATAAGATGTACGACACTTCTTGAAAAGGCAACAATCGAGAATCCAAACCAAAGACTTATGGTGGATGCATAGAAACAGATGAATTCCACAAATTCCATACGTGGTTGATGTTTATAATGTGTATTTGCAGTGGTTGAAAAATAAACATCAAATTCATAAAGATTTTGTAATGGTTTTCTTTCAATATCATCCATCATTGATATTGTATAAAATTCACTATGACATTCTTGTCGTTTACTACATGTTGCCAGACATTTTTTGGACATAATTTTATCTAAATTTTTATCTTCTTTATAGTTGGATGGTGCAAAATACAAATGTAAATTATAGCTGTTGTCCGTTGGAACATCACCATGTTGGCCACCATAATTATGAATAAAAAAATCTGACTATTTAAAATTTGTAAAAAAAAAAATTCATTCAATTAGAGTAATCATTTGAAGAAATTAATTAAAAAAAAAAAACACAAACACTTACCTTGCAATGATTCATACAATGCATCAATGATTTATAGCCAATTTCTTCATAATGACGACAATTTGATTTGAATGGTGGTTCCAATAAATCATTTATTGTTTTTACATAATTAAACAATTGAAACGATGATCTTGTATTGTTCACCCTGAAACCATTGGTTTGGCCACCAATAAAACCAAGAAACGGTATCATACGTGAATGCATAAAAATCATTGGTGAATCAATGTATTTGTTGAATAAACCAATTTCATATAATGGAAATCCATTATCACGTATTGTTATATCATGATCAATATGAAACAAATCATCTGATTCATTTTTCAATTGTAATCCAATGGAAAAACATTTACGTGCATCATTTATGGATTCATGTATAGATGATATTAATGTACAATTAATATAATCATCTTTTTCATGATCTTCAAATGCAATCGGTTTAATAACTCTACATTCATTGAATATTGTTTCACTGGAATGTGTAGCATTATTCAATATTTCATAAAGTGTTAGATTTTTAAATAATTTTTCATATGCTCCATATTTATCTTCTTTTTCTTCATATTCAACAAATTGTTTCAATTGTTTTGAATAATGTTCTTCAAGATATTCTTCATTAGCCACTTTGAATAGATCCATACAGATTGTAACACCAGGAATTTCAACAGCAGTTTCACGTTCAAACATAACGTTGACATTTGTATCATAAGCAAAATATATTCGACTAACATCAATTAATTGCCAAACACAACCTAATACAGCCAAAAGTGATCCAATTGCATATAGAATATCAATCGAATTTATACGTTTACTATTGATGAATTGTTGAAAACCACAACAAGAAAAAATGTATGGAAAAAATTTAAATTTTTTCGATTGATCAGAATTATTATTATCATCGATTGTTATAGACACCATTGATCCTGGTGATTGTTGATTATTTGTCAATGTTAATGATGATGCTGTTGTAGATTCTTGTGGTTTAAAAGCCATATTGTCTCATTATGGAATCATAATAATGAAGTAAATCATTTGAGAAATTTGATCATATTGAATTTTGGTTACACACCACACATTCATACGCACATATGCAATCAGCCAATGATGTAGCAATTGAATTGAATTGAATTGAATTGAATTGAATCAACAAAAATGATGCTAGCCACAACAACGATAATATGTGGTAGTAACACAACTTTGTAATCTTTTTTTTAATCATTTTTTTAAAATTATCTTTTTAAAAACAACAAAATTTGTTTTCTTTTTTCATATTGGACATTCGATGATGATGATGATGATGAAGATGATGTTGGTGATATTGATCAAATTTAATGGATATTCGAGAATTTTCTATCACTAAAATATTTTTGATTGATTGGTTGATGATCATTTCGATTTCGATGGATTGTCATTGGTGGCAAGTTATTGTCTAAGATTTGAATTTTGTTTTTTTTTCAACGTCGACAAATATTTATTTCAGGTGCAACTACAAAAAATTTTTTTGAAAAATGTCATTATCATAATGATGTGTATGATTATTTTCAAGGTTTGTTTTCAATCAATAGTACGAGCGCGAGAGAGAGAGAGAGACGAGTGTTGATTGCATTAATTTTCATTTTTTTTCCAATTGATTATAATTAAATGTTGTGGTTCATTAATTCAATGAGATGTGTATGATGTGTGTGCATGTGTAAGTTTACTTGTTTATATGATAATTACATTCATCATTATCATCAAACAGTTGATTATGGAATAAATAATTTTGATTTTCATCAATTTGTTTCTTCAGTTTTATATTCGTTTGATTTTTCTTTCTTTAATCGAATTAGACAATTATGATGTATCAGATGCATGATGGAACGTGCAAAAGCAATAATTGAGAATCCAAACCAAAGACTTATTGTTGATGCATAAAAACAGATGAATTCAATCCATTCCATACGTGGTTTGTGTGTATAATATTTATTCAAATCAATCGGTATCATTACTTTCAATTGAAATCGATCTTTTAATTGTATATTTTCATTATTTCGTTCAATTTCTTCCATAATTGTTATCTTGAATAGTTCACAAACACAATCCTGACGTTTACTACAGAATTGTGAACATTTATTCGATACAATTTTATCCAATGTTTTATTCTTTCTATATTCTGCTGGTGCAAAATGAATATCCAGATTATCACCATTATTGGCTGGAATATTAGCATGCCATCCATTAAAATGATCGATAAAATACTGGGCCTATACACATTCAATTGATGATGAAAAAAAAATGATTAATTAATTTCGAAATGAAAATATTGAACATGATTACCTTACAATGATTCATACAATGCATCAATGATTTGTATCCAATCTCTTCATAATGGCGACAATTTGTTCGATATGGTGGTTCAAGTAGTTGATTTTTTGTTTTGGCAAAATTAAATGATATACTTTCAAATTTTGAATTATTTGCACGAAAAAAATTAATATGACCACCGATAGGTGCAAGATATGGTGTTTTTCGTGATTCAACATAAATTTTTGGATTATCAATATATTCATTTAAAAGATGAATAATCATCAATGGAAATCCATTATCACGTATCGTTGTATCATGATCAATAATAAAACGATCATTCGATTCATCATTCAATTGTAATCCAATTGAGTAGCATTTCTTTTTCAATGATATAAATTCACGTATAGGAACAATATCTGTACAGGAAATATAATCACCGGCTATGGTTCGTTCAAATGCCATTGGTTTAACAATTTTACAATGATGAAATAATTGTTCGGCTGAAATTGTTGCCAAATTTAGTTGTTCATTTAATGTAAGATTTTTTAATAATTTTTCATATGCTAAATATTTAGCCTGTGGATATTCATTCATTTGTTTTAATTTTGTTGAATATTTTCCCAATAGATATACTTCATTGGCCATTTTTGATATATTCGAACAAATAGTAATGGCTGGAATATCAATTTTGGTTTCACGTTTGAATATAACATTCATATCAGTGTTATAAGCAAAATAAATTCTGCTTACAGCTATTAGATGACATAAACATCCAAATAATGCTAATAATGATCCAAATGTATGAAGAATATCCATCACATTTAGATGTCCTGTTTTGACCAGATGTTGTAGACCGAAACCGGTGAGAATATAATGTATAACATTGAAATCATTTTCATCATCATCATCATTATCGTTGTTATCTTCAGACAAATCAGAAATGGTCATTGCTGTTATTGGTTGCTGTATTTGTTGACTTGACATTGTCATCAACGATTCTTGGTGAATTTCATTTTCCATAAAAAAAAAAAGAATGATTAGTTGTGTTGATCACGATGAAGTTTGAATGAATGACTCACTCTCATACAAAAACATAAACAATTCGAAAAAAAATATCATATGTTTACAATAAATTGATAGGATCAATGTGCAAAAAAAAAAAAAAGAAAACACCAATTTGAAATTCTGAAATTGAATGTTTATTCTAGTATATAGGACCAAACTTGTTTGCCAACACATCACAAAATATTGTTTGTATGATGAATAAATGAATGAATGATGATCCATCCTGTTTTTTTTTTTTTTTTTGTTCATTGCGATTTGTATGTATGCATGTAATAATGGAAAATTGATTGATATTGATATCGAGTTATGGATTCAAGGATTTTGTTGTTGTTGTTTGTTTGTTTGTTTTTTTGGACATAATCAACAACAATAAAAAAAAACACAGTTGCGTCATAATCATATTATTAATAATAATGATAATGATGATGATTGCACAAGAGAAAAAATTTCCATAAACATTCGAAACGATTCAAAGGAAATTCCAGAAATTTTTTTTTTCTATTTTTTTCCAAGAAAATTTCGTTTTTTTTTTTTTTCTTCAAGAATTGAATATGAAAATAGCAGAAATTTATTTAATCAACCAACGAAAAAAAAATGGAAATTTTTATTTGTTTCAAACAGAAATAACATTCACCTGTTGATTATGTTATATATGCAAAATGATAAAAAGAGGCTGAAAATGAAGATGATGATGATGATGATGATGAAAAAATGATCCGATTCAACATCCATTTCAAGATGATATGCTGATCGAAGTACGTGGTGATTGATTATAACCACAGTTAGTTTGACCTTCTTTTATGTTTTCTGCTTTTAATTCATTATTATTATTTTCAGCATTCTTTTTTGCTGCAAGTGAATTCTGATGAATAAGACATACTAAAGCTCTTGAAAATGCAATGATTGAAAAACCAAACCAAAGACTAATGACACTGGCATAATAACAGATGAATTCAATCCATTCTAAACGTGGTGAATGTTTATAATGAGTATTCAAACCACTTGGTAAATAAATATTGATACGATAAAGATTTTGCCATTCAGGACGTCCATGGCCACGTTCAAATTCGGCAATCGGTTGCACTGTATAGAATTCACTATGACAATCTTGCCGTTTACTACAGAATTCTGAACATTCTTCGGACATAATTTTATCCAAACTTTTATTCTGTTTATGTACTTCAGGAGCATAATAAATGTCAAGATTATAACTATTATCAGCTGGTACATCACCATGCCATCCATTGAATTTTCGTATGAAATAATTGGCCTGTGAATTCAGCAAAACAAAAAACAAAAAATTTTGTTTTATCATCAGAAAACATTGAATGCAATAATAATAATAATAATGATGATGATTACCTTGCAATGATTCATACAATGCATCAATGATTTATAGCCAATTTCTTCATATTTACGACATTTTGTTTTGAACGGTGGTTCCAATAATTCAGTGATTGTTTTCACATAACTAAATGTATGTGTAACGAATTTTGTATTATTAACATGAAATCCATTGGTTTGTCCACCAATAAACGACAAGAATGGTGTTGTACGTGAATTAATGAATATTACTGGTGCTTCAAGATATTTATTCAACAATCGTATTTCAAATAATGGAAAACCATTATCACGTATGGTTGCATCATGATCAATAACATAACGATCATTTGGTTCATTATTCAACTGTAGACCGATGGAAAAACATTTTTTCGAATAAGTCAAAAATTCATGTATCGCTGCAACATGATTACATGGAATGAAACCATCTTTATTTTCGGTACTATTTTCGAATGCAATCGGTGTCATAATACGACATTCCTGTAATAGCTCTTTATGTGATATGGTTGCTTTATTCAATTGTTCATTTAGTGTCAGATTTCGTAACAATTTTTTATATGCACGATATTTTTTATCCGGATATTCAGGCATCGATTCTAATCGTGAACGATAATGTTCTTGTAGATATGTTTCATTTGCAATCATGCCAAGATTTGCACAAATTGTTACACCCGGAATTTCCACTTTAATTTCACGTACAAACATAACATTGACATTTGTATCGTATGCAAAATATATCCGGCTCACATCGATCAATTGCCAAACACAGCCAAGAAATGCGATTAATGAACCAACTGTATAGAGTATATCAAGTGAATCTAAACGTTTCATTTTAGACAAATGTTCAAAACCACAGCAAGATAAAAGATATTGAATAAGACTGATTGGTTCACTATGCTCATCTTCATCATGATGATCATCATATGAATCAACTTTTTTTATGGACGTTGTCAATGATAATGTTGTTGATCGTTGTTGCGGCTGCGGCTTTTCACTATTATTATTATTTGTAATCATCATTATTGGCAACGATGATGACGACGACGTCGTTGTTGTTGTTGATTCTGTTGTCGTTGTTGTTGTTGTTGTTGGTGGTGGCGATGGTAATTGCTGATTTTTCCCCATAACTTGCTGTTATTGCCTGTTTTTTTTAATGATAATTCATTATTATAGTATACTTGATTATATGAATAAAAAAAAATTTTAAACGATCATGATTAATGAATGAATGAATGAATAAAATGAATGGATAATTATCTTTGGAAGCGATTATTCATTCATTCATTCATTTAATCCATTGTTCTGATGATCAAAAATAAAGGTATTATCAAACGTAAACGATAGAAAAATTGTAGCTAAATTTCAATTTAGGAATTTGATTGACAAATTATTATTTATTATTATTATCGTGTCGCATGCAATGTTGCAATGTTATTGTTGTTGTTGTTGTTGTTATGTTAATATACCCGGATATCGAATCCGTATTAGAATCACTCCGTTAATGGAAATCAATCAACCATCCATCATCATCATCATTGTCATCAACAACATTGATCTTATTTCCGTTGGTTAATCATTCTTGTTTTTTTTCCATGGAAAAACCATATGACTGTACATTGTTTTGTGTCTGTTTAATGTGGTTAATGAAATTCAAACATACAAACAAACAAACATATTGATGATAATGATTGTTTATCCAATGACAATGATGATCATGGCCATCATATAGATGATTATTTTGACTATAAAAAGGAATCTATTTAATGAATATTCAGAATAATAGAATTTATAACAATGAAAACAATCAATTCTAATCGGAAAAAAAGAGAGAAAGAAAGAAACAAAAACAAAATGACAAATGATGATGATCATGATAAAAATTCTCTCCAAATATGTAAATTATCATTCATTTCATTCATACCTGAGATCGAATTCGTTTCACTGATGTTTTATACCAATGATGATGACACGTTGTCGATGTTATCAAACACCTGTTAACGGCACTTTTGAATTCCAAGTTTAAAAATGAAAAAAAAAAAAATTTTTGAAGAAGAAACAAAAAAGAATTTTGTGATTTATGTCGATTGCTTTTGGATGAATGAGAAGAATTTTTGTTGTTTTACTTTGCATTGGCAAACACAAACACACACACACACACAACAAAATCAAATTCATTCAGATCAAGTTTTTGAATCAAATCGAATGAATGTCGTATGAAATGTCGCATCAAACGTTCACGTAGATGGTACCTGTCTGTCTGTGTGTGTGTATGTGATCTGTATATAGGTGTATGATACGTTTATTTTTTTCGTTTGTATGTTTGTAAATGTTTTCCAGTGTTAATTAATAATAAAAAAAGACATCCATCAATAGAAAAAAAATGACTGATTTTTTTTTTAACACGAAGCAATTTATGGATTCTCGTTTTTTTTAAACAAAAAAAAATCTTAAATGTCGTGTTGGCTACATTGTCGATAGTTTACTATTGTGTCCTTTGTTTAGAATTGTTCAAGTTTTTTTTTCTTTATTAATTCTCAACACGTCACATACACATAAACACACACACACACACACCGGTGTGTTGAGAATTTGTTGCAATTTTTCATTTTTTGTTTTGTACAGGGGAAAAAATTTGAATTCAATTGAATTGAATGAAGATGAAATTTTTTCTCTCAAAAAATTTTTTTTTGTTGTTGTTTAAAAAACCACAGTTTCTTTCTCATCATCAATATCGTATATTGACAACATTTCATCATTATTGGATATTGACAATAAAATGACAACATCAACACAACACCGACACCACCAGCACCATCATCAACGATAAAGCATCAAATTCATCTTTTTTCCACGATCATCATCATCATCATCATTATCCCCTGAAACTATTAAATTTTTTATTTCGATGCTTCTGCCATTTTGTGGTTGTTGATGATGATGATGATGATGATGATGATAATGATGATAGAATTTGGCAAAGATGGCGATGATGATGATGATGATGATGCTAATACCTGTATAGAGTTTGGATTTTATTTTATTTATTAAAAATCAAACATGTACTAGTAGCCAACCCTTTTTTTTGCTGCAGAATTGATGATGATGATGGTGATTGGGATTTTTTTTAATTTCAACGTCAAACAATTTTAAAACATTCACACACACACACATACATAAATAAATTTGAAATTTCAAAGATTTTTTTTTTAGATATTCTCATTCTAATTATCCAAAGTGATTACTTGATCGTTTGTTTGTATATGGACAATCAAATATAGATTCAACGCATTTTTTTTTTATTTATTTTTTTTCTGTTCAAGGATTTCAACCTGTTTTCAATCAAACAAGTTGTTTACTGTGAAGCGTTGTGTGTGTGTGTGTGTGCAGGTATGATCGTAAACTGATTAGAATCATGGCATCATGTTTTTTTTTCTCTTTGTTACCATTAGCAAAATGAATGAAGATGAAATTCAAGAATTCAATTTTTCCTTTCGTCGTTTCGTTCATTTCGTTTGGCAGAAAAAAAATGTTCAAAAAAATTCAAGCGCCTATTTTTACCAAATAGGTTGGAAAATGTTAAAATAGAACGAGTTGTTTTGATATCGAAAACAATTCTGCAGAATTTTTTGTTTTGTTGATTTTGATTATTTTTTTTTTTGAAATTTATTTCTACTTTTCTATTGATTGTAATGATAATTCTTGAAATTTGATCAATTTATCTATTTTAAAAAAAATGACTGAAGAAATTGAAGAAAATTTTGAAATCGATACAAAACGAAATCGTTATCCATATTGTATTGTTTGGACACCCATACCGATTATAACGTGGTTATTACCATGGATTGGTCATATGGGTATTGCCACATCTCGTGGTATAATCCGTGATTTTGCTGGTCCATATTTTGTTGCCGAAGATAATATGGCATTCGGTAATCCAACAAAATATTGGCAATTAGATCCAAATCTAGTCGATGATGGTAAAAATGGCTGGGATGAAGGAGTGGAAAAATCGTCCATTCTTTATTGCAAACGAATGGTAAAAACCTGTGATTTTTTTTTTGACAAATTTTCCATTAATTTTCATTCTAATTTTCATAGCATTATCTTTGTTGGGACAATTGTCATTCACATGTCGGGACAGCATTGAATTTTATGCGTTACAATGGTGAATCAAATCATAATATGGTCAAAACATTTTTTCATTTTACATTGAATTGTAAATATATTAGGTAAGAATTTTCATTTATAATGTTTGGCTGTTATTTTTATTTATTTTTTCTCTCAAATTTGTTACTAGTTTTTGTGCATTCCTCAAAACTTGGCTACCATTCTGCATAATTATCACCATAATCATTTCATTGGCAATGTTTGCCAATATGGGACATTGATTAACCTGTTCATCGGCCTTATTCCGTTCTTATTTAATGTGATGTCTTTTTTTTGTTGTGTTTAACCAAATGAATTTATTATCATTCATCCATCCAGCAATCCACCCATTAATTGATTCGTGAAAAAAAAATCTCCATAACAATAATTGAAAAATACAATCTTTGATCAATAATCAACCAATTTTATTTATATTTTGATTTCTCACTTTGACATTTTAATTATTACATCATCATATCATTTCATTTTGTACATATAAACATTAACATGTGGTCAGTTGATTGATTGGTCCAATGGTTTTTGGAATATTATAATTTGATTATATAATCTTTAAATTTTCATCATCATCATAATTAATCATGTGTAATAATGATAAAATTTTTGGTTCAATTTGACATTTTGTTCCGGTTTCATTTTGTTTGATTGAGGCGGGCAAATAAAATTTTTTAAATTTAAATTAATGATTTATGATATTGCATAATTGAAAATAAAAATGTGTGTGGTCTGTGTGTGTGTGTGTCTGTGTCTGTTTTCAATTTGGTTTTTCGTGTGGTTTCGTTTTCTCATTCATTTTACGGTTTTTTTTTTTTATTTTGATGTTGATGATTATAAATTATATGATGATGATGATGATGATATGAGCATCATTGAAAAATTTAAATTCCTATTCGAGAAATTTTAGGCTGGAACAGTATTTTTTTTGTAATCCATGATGTACTTGATTGTATGAAATGGAAAATTAGGCCACTTGTGTGTGTGTGTGTGTGTTTGGTTTGTCCATTTTAAATGAATCATTTGATTTTTTTTCCACCATCTACCGAATACGATGTTGATATTAAATTTTTTTTTTTTGTTATCAATCGATTTGTTCGTTTTCTTCAGAATTAAACAGATGAAAATTTTTCTCGAGAATTCACAATACAACAACAATAATAATGGAATTTGGAATTGAAAACAACAAAAAAAAACATAAAAAATAAACAAAACAAAAATTCAAAACGGAAAAAAATGTATTTTTCATTATATTGGCCAAAGGAAATGAGTGGAAACCAACGAAAACACCGCCACCACCACCACCACAGCAGCAACAGCAATGATAATAATTTGTTTCGTTTATTTTGAAACACTGTGAAAAATCATCTGTAAAGGATATTAATATTCAAGTTTACATTTTTTTTTTTTAGTTTAGTTTAGTTTAAATAAACAAACAAACATAGAAATCATAATAAATGAAATGAAATGAAAAACGGTGGCAAAAACAAAAATAACAAACAAGTTTTGAAAATCAAAATTTCCATTCCCATTGAGACATGAAATGATGATGATGATGATCCCATAGAGATAGATGTTTCGCCAATATTATGCCTATCCAAATAATATATGGGGTGTGTTTCATGGACAAAACATGGTTGTTGGTGGTGGTTTTTTTTCTGGTTAGTCATTCTCGGACATTCAACATATTGATGGTGGACAACAATTTATTCTCACTGTTTTTTTTTATTGACACAAATGTTGATGTTTAGAATAAATTAGTTTTTTTTTCACCGGAATTACAAAAAAAAATTAAATGTTTTTCTTCTTCTTCTTCAGGAAAAAAACAACCATCACCATCATCATTAGCAACAACAACAGCGACAAACATCACTCGAACAAGAATACAGAATCTTGAAAATGATATGTGTGGGTGAAGCCGGCATTTTTTTTGTCTGTTCTTCCATTTGTAATTGATTTTTTTCCATTTCTGTTACAAAAAACGATTGTGGTGTTATATGGTAGTAATGATAATCATCGTCTGGTTTCATTTTGTCTTTTGGTTATTGTCAAAAAAAAAAAAATGAATAAATTTTTCTTTTCTTTTTCAATTTTCAAATTTAGTTTTGTTTGTCGTTCATATTATATAACAACGAAGATGGAAATGATAAAATTTTTTTTTCTCTTTCCAAAAAATGAATGAATGAATGAAAAATTTAAAAATTTCATTTAAAATTCTTTTCCATTCATTTATTCTGACATTATAATGACATCGTCGCCGTCGTTGTTGTTGTCGTTGTTGTTGTTGAAACATTCGCAACAACAACAACAACAAAAATTTCTGGACCATAGTGTTGATATTTATTATTTATATAAATTCATTTCTGTTTCATTTTTGTTTTTTTTTTCTCATGAAATCAACACCAAACAAAAAAACATCAACAACAACTATACAACATAAACCTCATTCATGTTTCATTCAAAAGATCAAATTTAACCGGCCGACATGTAGACCAAAACAACAACAACAACAACAACAACAACAACAACAACAACAACGATGATTATGATGATGATGATAATAAGCAAGAGAAAAAACAAGAAAACAAAACAAAATGTCATAATTTCATTTTATTTTGATGTTTTTCATTCATTTTTAAACCATGAGAATAAAAAAATTTTTTTTTTTTTTTTGTAAATTTCTTTTAGATTGTTGGTTGTTGAGCTTTTTATTTTTTCCATTTGTTCAAAACAAACTGAAACAATACAAAAACAAAACAAAACGAGAAAAAAATTCATTTTCATTTCAAATAAAGAAGACAAAAAACAAAACAACGAAAAAAATTCCAATTGTCAACATCCGGGCGACGAAAAAAAAAAAAAAATTCTTGATAGATTCTTGATCATCATCATGAATTCGGGTGAGAGAAATGAGAGAGAGAGAGAGAGAGAGAAACAAAAAATTTGAGCGTCATGTTTTTTTTTATCCATTCGTATACGAGATGAGGGCAATGCAAAAAAAAAAAAATCATTATCATCACCATTGTCACAATTGCCATTGCCATACATAACAGCAACAAATTTCAAACTTTTCAGTAAGCTTAATGCATTTTTGAAATGTTTTTTGTCATTCTGCATCCATGTTGTTTGCTTTTTGTTGTAAAGTCTAAAAACAAAACAAAACAAAAAAAATAAGAGAAAAATTAAAACCAAATTAGTACACACACACACACACATTTGCATTTGCAATGAATTTTTGCTTGTTTTGTTTATTTTGAACACAAACCTTTACAATAATACAAACTCTATGGCCAGCGAAAGAAAAAAAAATATGACTTTACATTCAAATCAGCCCAATGTGATGATAATGATGACGATGATGACGATTAGACATGTAACCAGGAATTGAATTGAAAAATAATGTTATGATAATGATGATGAATGAGCCGTCATCACTGACGACGACGATGATGATGATGATGATCAAGTTGTTGAGTCAAGTTGATTTGAAAGAAAGAAAAAAATAAAAGAAATCCAGGGGATGATGAATCAGAAAAAAAGTGAATGAATGAATGAATGATTATTTGTCATATATGATATATAACGACAATGTTGTAAATAAAGATTCCGTTTCATGTTTCGTGTGTTTGTTTGTTTGTCGTTTCGTTTCAATTCATGATTGGATTTCATTTTCACATAATATAAATGATAACTGTAGAATAGTGGAAAAAAAAAAAAAACACATAACGCCCACATATCTGCATATCGGCATATATTTATATATTGTATTCATGATGATTCATGACGATTCATTTGGATAACTTTATCTTGATCGATTGGCTGAAAGATATGCGGTGCATCCAACAATATGGCGATGGTACCGAATGATGTGATACCGAAAAATAGATACAATTGTAAACGATCTATAACCATGGCTACATATTTCCAATCTTCACGTATCTAAACATGGTGATAATGATGATGAGAAGGAAAGGAAAAAAAAAAGAAAAGAGAAGAGGAGTGAATGAGAGTAAAAAAAAAGAGAATAAAAAAAATTGTAAGATTGTTATGGTAAAGAAACATAGGGAATGAGTGAATGAATGAAAATTCAATATTTAGACAATGAAAAAAATGCAGAATAAATAGATTGCTGTTCTGGGAATAATAATAATAATATCGAAAAAATTGAAAATGAAAATCAAATTGTCATCAACGTGATCATCATCATCATTGTGATCAATTTAATTTTAAAATTTCAATTTCAATTTTTTCTGTTTTTTTTTTCATTTTTCTTCAAAACTACTTGACAAACAAAAAGAATGGTGGCGGAAAAATTAATGCTTTATTGACATAGCGGCAATTGAGAGTTGGAACATTTCTCATTGTTCCAACATATTTTTTTTTGTTATTCAATTGACATGATGATGATGATGATGATGATTGTTTAAAATTTGACTATGTAAAAGAATTTTTTTGATGATGTTAATTTGTATTGTCATATCGAAAGAATTCTTCAATCATCATCATCATCATCGACAACAACAACAACAACAACAAAAGTAGCTTTCAGGAATCAGATTTTCGGCAATCATTTAAATTCAATTGCGCATATTTCAATATTTCGAAATCATCATCATTAAGAACAAGATTTCGGCAAGGCAAAGTTAATCAAATTTTGTTGGAGTTGTCAAAGTCATTCTCATCGTTTCAAGAATCAAGAATTGCTCAAAAAAAAAAAAAAGAAAGAAATGGATATAGAAATATTTAATTCACTATGGGGCTATAAAAAATAAGGTTATTTTTTCCAGATGAATATATAGAATATTTTTTTGTGTGTGTGTTTACATAACAAAAAAAAAGTTTCGTTTCATTTGATCCGGAATATTTTTCTCCATTCTTCCATCTTTACATCCTGAGTTTCATTTGTATATATATGAATTTCAATTCTGTCAATTCTATTGTTGTGTATATTCTCAATGTATTTGTCTGTTGATACAAAATATAGCGACACACGACACACACACACACACACACACACACACGATGATGAAAATAGAAAAAGATCTGAATGTGTGTAAAAATGCATCTGCTTAAATATTTACTTCTTTTGCTTCTTCTATTGCTCTCTTCATCTTCATACTACACTATGTTGATCATGGAAACGAACCGAACCGAACTGAATAAAATCATTTGTGTTTGGTTGTAGTTGTTTGATTTGAAATTCTTATAAAAATAATAATAATAAGAAGAAGTAGAAGAAGAAGGAAAAAAAAATTCCGGCAATATATTTTTTTCGAAAAAAAAAAGAATATCTCAATTTCAGATAAGAATCCAATGATGATGATGACAATAATATCATCATCAATGGAGATTCACATTCATCACAAATTCTTGTTATTATTTTTTTTTTTTTGGATAGATTTCTTGAATCAATAGTGTAAGAAAAAAAAACCATCGAACAAGAGGAATATATTGATGAATGGTCATGTGTGTGTGTGTGTGTGTGTATGTTGTTGGTGGGTGCAAGCGGAAATTGAAAACGAGAAAAAAAACTAATTGAAACAAAAAAAAAAAAAAATATCAAAATAGAATTGTGATTAAACTTGAATTAATTTGATGATGTAGAAGATTGAATTTCTTTTGCATCTATTTATAGTGTATATATATTAAACATACACATACACACACACACAATTCTGATGAATTCCGGACAATGACATCATCATCATCATCATCATTGTAATAAGAAAGATTTTTAATGAAAAAAAAGGTGTGTCCACCATCATTCATTGACAATATTCTTTTGTATTCCATTTCAATGATTTATTCAAACAAAACAATTGCAATGAATCATTTTAATAACAAAAAATCGCCATTCCTTATTCATACAAATATATCGTATTCATGTTCATCAATCGATATGATGGCCAAATAAAAAAAAAAAAAAACAAAATAAACGATATTTGAATTTCTATTTGATGATCAGAAACTCTCATTTATAATCAGAAACTAAAATACAAACAAAATATACGAAAACAAAAACAAACGAAAAACAAGCAAAAGTTTTCATTCGATGAATACTAAGCATATTATTAGCATTGTTGTTTGATCTGTAAAAGAACCATAGAAATACCAGAATGAAGACCAATAATATTAAGAATTAAACAAACATCAATAGAGTGTATCGACTAACAGTCGAAATAGAATAACAACAACAACGACAACAACAACAAAGAATGTGAAAGAAAGACAAAGTCAACTTTGTCACCAAAAACAAACTGAATAAATGAATGAATGAATAAATGAACGACAAGGCAAAGAAGAATATTCTGACAGAAACAATCAAAAAAAAAAAAAAAAAAAAAATAAACGGATGGAATACAAAGACGATGACTAGAATCACTTTGATTATTTGACTTTTTATTTCCACCATCGTCATTGTTATTGTTGTTGTTGTTGTTGTTTTCACTTATTTATCCCCACTCTCAAAATTCAGCGAAAATAATTTTTTTGTAGATTTTTTTTCTGAAATGAAGTAGAAAAAAAACAAGCAGAACAAACATGCTAACGAACACACATACACACACACACACATAGAATGATGATGACAACGAATGAATAGTTTTGGAACAAACGAACGAACAAAACAAAAAAAAAATCCAAACAAAATTGGCCATGGTGAAAATTGTGCCCTAAAAATCTTGGAAGGTTTTGTTTTGTGTGTGTGTGTGTGCGTTTAATTTTGAATACATTTTGCCAATGTTATAAGCACATTTTATTGGAATGGAAATTTTTTTCAACTTTTCCACACGAATAGAATATATATTTTCACAATTGTGAATCAAACGTAATGAAAAAAAAATAAAATAAATCGATGATAAGTAGTGATATTTCAAATGTCACAAAATCGTATCGATTTTGAATCCATCCAACATATAATACAGATTGATCATTTTCATCAATCTATTTTGATTGTTTGGAAAAAATTTTTCTTTCCATTCTTTGATTCTGGAGTTTTTGGGGAAATATATGCAAACAAAAAAAATAGAATAATGAGAAAAAGTGGAAAGAAAAAAGTTTGGAAAAAAAATGCCAATCACACACACACATACATACACACTTAACAAAAATGCCGGCTGGAACACACACATATGTGGAACCAAAAGTCAAAGAATTGAATGAAAAACGTTTCGAAAACTTTAAGAAACAACCACACACACACACACACTTAGTCAATTTATGACAATAAAAAAATTGAAATCGAGAGACTTTTGCATCACCATCATCATCATCATCTATTGTTGTTACACGTATTTGTGAAATCAATTTGAATGAATTTATCAGAGAGAGAGAGAGAGAAAAAAGTAGTTTATGGAAAACTTTTTTTTTCTCTTATTCACTTTTATTATAATGATGATGATGATAAACGGCTTGACGATCGATCCATGAAAAATGGAATGAAATTATTTTGACAGAAAAACAAACTAATCAAAATAGAAAAAAAAAGTGAATTTTTTTTTGGTAAATTGAATTTATTTTCAGAATAATAATGGATATAGTAGAGTATCAATGAATTTGATGATGATAATGATACCCATCAAATCGCAATGGTTACGACGACGATGACGACAATAATCATCATCATGATTTAGATGATGGCCATCATCATAACCGATTATGATGATGATGATGATGATGATCGTCTTCATGATGGTTTTCAGTCCTTCTTTCTCTCGGTCATCAATAATAATGATAATCATCATCATCATCATCATCACCATCACCATCACCAGACAATGACCCAACGAAAAGAGAAAAAAAAATTACTGAAAAAAAGTGGCTCAATTTAAGATCCATGCACACACACACACACACAGGCACGCACGCACACATTGAAATGAAAACATTGAATAAAAAAATTTGGCTTTAGCCTCTAACGACAAACAACAATTTTTTTGTGTGAATTTTGAAAATGGAAATCATGTTTTAAACAAAACAAAAAAAAAAAAGAATAAGGAAAATCAATGAGACACTTTTTTTCGAACAACTGTTTTTTTTCAAAAACATTTTACACAACAACCAGCCAGGGCCAAACCAATCATCAAGCAGCAGCAGCAGCAGCCAAAAAAACTTTATTTTCATTTTGACTCCCAATAGAATCCACGTAGTAGGTTATATATATACCACACACACACACACACAATTCTTTCTTTTCTTTTCTTTTTTCCTAGCATCAATCGTTCGAATATAAACTTCAAATAGAATGATCGGAAACGAATTCTTGAAATAACAACAACAACAACAACAACAATAACGACGAAAAAAATTCTTCTAGGCTGAGATTGTCACTGAATGTCGTTTTTGTGTGTTGTTATTGATTGAAATCGGTCGTGTCGTTATTGATTATTTTTTTCTAAAGTTGAAAAGAATCCACCAAAATGAAAAGAAAAAAAAAGATGAATACAAAAAAAAAGAAAATAATTTAAAATGAAAAATAATGGCTTGTGTGTGTGTGTGTGTGTCTTTAACGGGAGTATTTGGGAAAAAAATCCACACACACACACACACAGAGTTGACACAAGCCAACAACAACAACAACAACAACAACAGAGGCGTTTTATCTGTTGAAGAAAACTTTCAAAGAAAGAAAGAAAGAAAAAAACGTTGTGAATTTCTTTTTTTTCTAAAATTTGAGTGAATGTAGGGGAAAAAGTTTCAGTGATATTTTCTATGTTCATTTTAATTTGATTATAAAATGGAAATAAAGTAAAAAAAAAAGTAAAAGTAAAGTGGGTGATTTGATCAACGGTTTTGTTTGATCAATTGTTTTTCGTTTGTTTTAAATATATGTGTGTAATATGTCGGTGTATGAAGAGAGGAATATGAATTTGAAAAAAACCTACTTGAATATATTGATCTTCATTACGTAAATGTTCGGCAATGAATTCAATGGCTTCGGCAGCACGATATGCATCGGGTGACATAAAATATAAATCAAGACTATCATTATCTCTTATTGCCATCATATCATGATCAATTGATGATGATGATGGTGGCGGTGGTGGTGGTTGTGGTTGATGTGGATGATGATGTGAAGAATGATGGGGCTGTAATGGTGGATGAAAATTTGATTGATGCTGCTGTGCAGTAACAATCGTACAATTCGGATGATGATGATGTCGTTGAGCTGTGGACGTTGTTGTGGTTATTGGTTGTGGTTGAGCTGTCGTTGGTGATACATTTCCACTGACCATTTCGTCTATTTAATAATTATATAAACGATAGATAAGAAAATGGAAAAAAAAGATTAGAAACAATAGTTGAATGAAGAATAAATTGATTAATAGTGAACATAATCGATCAATCAATTGCATTTATCGAATTATAGAATTATAAATATACCTGGTGGTCCAGTACCCGATCCAGTAAGGCATGATGGTATAATAGTATCGGCCGTTTGGCCACCCATTTGATTATGATGATGAGAATGATGATGATGAAAATGATATTGTGATGGATGATGTTGTTGTTGCTTGCTGCTGCTGCTGTTGTTGTTGTTGATGATGATGTTGATGATAATGATGATAATGATGATGTATATTTGGCATATCCATCATCCATCTCAAACGTGTCTTTTTTGGACGTTTCATAAATAATAATGCAGGTAAATATGTAAGAAATACAGTGCGTACCCAATTAGGCATTTTATGTGTACGTGGACCACGAAAATTCCAATTAATAACAATTACAGTGGCTAGTATTGATATACAATTCATAATGAATGCAAATAATAAATATTTGGCAATTAATGGAAGCGCTAATGATGTTGGAGGTAATATTTTTGATATAAGTAACAAGAACACAACCAATGCCAATAAAATTGAAATACCGAGCGTTACTTTTTCACCTGCAAATGTAAAAAAAATCATAATAATAATAATAAATTAGTACGAAAGACAAACGATGCAATAAAAACAACAACAACAAGCAAAAGAAAATACAGAAAAAAAACCATGAAAGAATTATGTTTGTGGTTAATTAATTTAAATCACTTGCATGCACACACTAAAACACACACACATAATCAAGGTATATATAATCTAACAACAACAACAACAACGGCAACAACAACAACAGCAAAGAATTTGAAAATGGTTGTTGTTTATTCATGTGTGTTGGTTGTGAAATTATCATACAAAAAGCAGATTGAAATTGTTGTTGTGAAATTAGAGAAGATGGATGGATGAATGCAATGCAATGTAATGTAATGCATAGATTCATTTTCCAGGTATCCAGATGTATCATACACACACACACACACACACATGGAAAATGTTTTTTTCTACTTTTTCTACCCAATCTTCTGTGAATGTGTTAATGATAATTTCTTTTTTTTTATAACCCGGTGTATGTGTATATGATGATATACATCTGGACATCATACACGCTTAGCTAAATACAACAAATCATACAAATTCATTGTGAATTAAAAATGATTCAAATTCATGGTTATTTACACACACACACACACACGGAGAATTAGATTTTTGTTTTGTTTTTTTCATCATAATCATAATTATCACCAACAAAAAAAAATATAACAAGATTTTCTGGAACACTTTCCAGATGCTATGATTGTCTACCGAGTGTGTGTGTTTGTTACCGTTGTCATCATTGTTCATTACAATTTTTGATTATGATGATGATACAAAATTTGAAACAAAACAACTAGAAAAATGGAAATAAAAAACACACACACACACACAGACACACAGATAAAACAGATCAAGAATCTCATGAACAAATTCTTTATACACGGTTTCGTTTTCCTTGAAAACACACACACACACACACACAAACGCAGTCATAAACACAGAATATAAAGTCAAACGTAATTTACTTAATTTTCATCATCATCATCATCATCATCATAATCATCATTGTACATTAGTTTTTTTTGTTCTACTGCAATTTTTTTCATTCATTCATTCTCATTTTTGTGTGCAAACTAAAGTTTGTTGATACCAAATGTGTGTGTGTGTTTGTGCGTGTTATTATTATTTTTTTGCAGTAATAGTAAATGGATTATATTTATTAAAACCATTTTCTCATCATCATCATCATCATAGATTCATTCATGTATCTATACACACACACACACTCATTTCACATCTCAAGCATAAAATAAATTGGTTTTTTTTTTCTTGGGTATATGGAACCAGGTATCATCATGAAAATTCTTTGGAGACAATTCTTTCATTTTTTTTCTCACTGTTTTTGCTTGAAATGAAATAATTTTTTTTCCTACTCATCATGCACATCTGAAAAAACAGAGAAATGAGTTGAGTGTTAATTTTCATTTTTTTTGTGTGTCTGTGTTTGAAACAAATGAAGAATTATATAGAATTAAAACAAAAAACAAAAAAAAAAATTCTACTGAAATTCACTAGAAATATACCATCAACGCCACCATGATTATGCAAATATAATTTATATATCGTATCGTAAATTAAGTTAAACATTAAGCACATATATGAAAATGGTGATAGTGCAATAAAATCTGATGATAATCTGGGAAAAAAATATGAAATTCTAGAATCTAGATGAAAAAAAAAACATTAAAGAATTAGTGATGATTGCCATTGCCGTATACATACAGGCAAAATTGACATTTGATGAGGCAGTAATCGGCCGGTGCATATTGTTTTATGATTTTCAAGAAAGAGAAAGTGATAATTATTTCTCATTAATCCCGACAACAACAACAACAACAACTGTCATCTTTATCATCATCATCATCATCATAAAAACATCAATTTTATTTTCTCATTTGAAATTAATGAGATATACAAGAAAAAAAATCGAGCTAAAGAGAAGAAAAAAAAACTTTTCTATCCAGAATAAATTTGTCTAGTTGATGTAGTATATGTCAAGCGACAGAATACAACAAAAATATGAATGACGAGTGATTGGATTCTTTCGTTTGGATTTTTATTTTTTTTTTATTTTCATTGAATCGAAATATAATAAATCTTTCCTTGCAGTTGTTGCCTACTTTATCGAATAAAATTGAAGAATATTATTCAGTGATGAAGAAGAAGAAGAAAAAGAAGAAAAAATTTCGACTTCAAATGACGTTGAACATATCGATTCGTATTCGTATTGATCAATGGAATATTTATCAACAACAACATCGTCAACTGAATATATATATATCGTCATTTATGCGTGTAAATAAATACAAAACAACAAGAAAAAACCATTTAACCATTTTTCATATTCACATTGAAAGAAACTTTTTTTTTCATGATGAACAACATCCATAATGATCGAATGGATTTTGATTTTGATTTTTTTTTTTTTCGTTCATTCGATGGATATATCCGGAATGGATCAAACGTGTAACAGTTTTTTTTCATTCATTCATTCATTTATTTATTTATTTTCTCGTTTCGCGGATATCGTTATTAAATATTTGGAACCAAAAAAAAAAAATGTCTCCATTTTCTTTTCTTTTCATTCCATGGAACAAGAAAATGAAATTCTTCTTTTTTGACAAATTGTTTTTCTTCTTTCGATTCTCTTGATAGTTTATATCGACGAATATTATTATGACAAAAATGATGATGATGACGACGATATCGGCTTCATTTATTTTGAATGTTTGTCGTTCGGTCGGTCGGTCGATCGGTCGGCCTGTGTGTATTGGCACTAATGGCATTTCCGAAGAGAAAAAAATCATTGATGTATAAGTTTTTTTACTCGGTGAATTAAGCCGATCCAGCCGATCCAACGATGATGATGATGATGATGAACCAAAAAACCCGAATAATTTTCATAAATTGCACACACACAAGTAGATCATTTAAATCCATTTGAATTTTTTTTTTCTTTTCGGATCAAAATATCGATTATGATGAGAGTCACACACACACATATCCAATCAATCCATATATATCAATGCAAAAGTGTCGATATCATCATCATCATCATCATCTGTATCAATAAACGTGCAGTGTTTGGCTCGATCGATGAAACAATCGAAACCATTAATCCATGAAACGATACAGATATGACCATAACTTTGTTATTTTAATATTTTTTTTTGTTGGATCTGAGACAAAAAAAAATTTCTGATTTTATTCATTCTCGAGTAATTTCTTTTCGTTTTTTTGCACTTGAAAAATTCACACATATGATGAATGACTTGAATTTTATCATCATCGTCGTTGTTGTTGTTGTTGTTTAATTTTTTAATGAATAAAAAAAACAATGATCCTGGAATTTTTGAAATACCCACGCGCAAAACATCTTTTGCCGGTTCAATCAATCGATGATGATGATGATGATGATGCTCAAATTATTATTTTCATTATTATTCATGCATCGTATACAAAGATTGTATTGTAATGAAATACAATGAGGAAAAAAAAAAAAAACAAACAAAATGATCTCATGCACATCTCTTAGCTTCATCATCATCAACTCAAATTGAATGATTGGATCAATCGAAAAAATGAATGAATGAATGAACTGAATAAAATGACTTTGAATATGAAAGAAAATGATCGATCGAATCAAGTTATCTGCGTGTATTTTTCTCAAGATGAAAAGTGATCATCATCATCATCATCATCATCGTCATCATCATAAACAATAAACGATGATGATAGTGTTTTTCACCAACAAATAACCAAGTTTAGAAATTTAAGTCTAGTGGAGTACACATGGAGTGAAATTTTTTCATTCATTCATTCATTCAACTTTTTAGGTTCATCTAAGGAATACAAATGATGATGATGATGAGCATTCTATGTATTCGGTATATAATAGTTAACACATCATATATCGAATGTTGATTTTTTTTTACAAATCAGTTTATCGGATTACTGACTGAGCATTCTATGTATTCGGTATATAATAGTTAACACATCATATATCGAATGTTGATTTTTTTACAAATCAGTTTATCGGATTACTGACTAAGACACACACAGAGAGATATTCAGTTAATTCAATTTCATTCATTCATTCATCAATAAAAAACAAACAAACGACAACTAGATAGATAACTATCGAGAGTTGTGAATCTGTTTTTTTTTATCTTTCCACTGACTATAGTTATTCAATTCAATAGTTATTCAATTCAATGTTTGCTGCTGCTGCTGTTGTTGTTGTTGTTGTTTTTGATTTACAACTTTTTTTTTCTTTTATTCAATTGGCTATTCTCATGGCTAATCTGTCCATCTACATTTGCAACCTTTTTTTCTGTTGTTGTTGTTGTTGTTGTTCTTGTACTTGTTGTTTAGTTGACAATTGCAAAGTTATAAACAACAACAACAACAACAACAAATGAAAACAAAAAACTTGGACAACGATACAACATGTACGTCCTAGTGATTCACGAATAAAAAAAAAAATCTTCACTTTTCTATAAATAATTGATTAAATGTATGGCTTCGTTAAACAAAGATAGAAAATTGGAGAAAAAAAAACAAAATTTTTTTTCCACCATCTCTATACAAATTCTGTTCTGGTTGTTCTGTTTTGAAATTCTATACGCGTACAGTGTGTGTGTGTGTGTCTGGAACTTTTTTTTTTTTTTGGTTACGGTAGATTCAATGGTTTAAAATAAAGTTAATTAAAAGGTAACCAAGCTCATTTGAGTGGGAGAGTGAAAAAGAGAGATTGGTTGATGAAAATCAAACAGAGTAAAAGTGTGCTATATTGAGCTAGAATAATTTTTTTTTTTCGTACACTATTTCTACAAAACAGGATCATTTGACTTATTGATCAATGATGATGATTTGCATCAAACAATAAATGTACAAATGACCATTTTGGGTAACAACGAAAAAAAAAAAAAAAAAGTAAAGGATAATATAAAGATAAACTTACCGGCTTCAGATGGTAAATAGAAAACCAATATGGATAGAAATGATATTAATACTGTAGGCAATATTAGATTGACAGTGTAGAATAATGTTTTACGTCTTAATGTTATATAGAATGATATATCCGTTTCGGTTGGTTTACCATATTTAGAATTATTATAAACATTAATATATGCAGGCACATCGACAATATCCCATGTACCACTTTTCCAATAATCAGATAGATCGACACTATAACGATCATTAATAAGACCTAAGTACACTTGATCACCATTGAATGTCCATGAACCGAATTTCATAACACAACGTTGTTGATCAAATGGAAAATATGTAACATCAATCTGGCATGAGCTTTGATAGATGGCCGGAGGTAACCACAATAATTCACCATTATATGATAGAAGGGTATTTGATTTGAAACGAACTTCGTAATTACCGTCGGCACTGTTTTTTTTTTTTTTTGATTTTATTCCAGAAATTTATATTATTTTTTTCCAGCGACAAAAAAAAAGAAGAAAATGAAATGAAATGAAGATTAAGATCCATAAACCACAACCAAGCAACCAACCAACCAATCAACCAACCAACAAAATCAGCCACCGAGAGAAAAAGAAAAAATAAATGTGATTAGTATAATTGTGTTACGATTCAATTGGAATTATTGTGAACATCATCAAAACGTCTGTCTGTCTGTATGGTAGTTTGTCTGTTTGTCTAACTGACTGACTGACTGACTGACTATAGTCAAAACAGCAACTATTAATGTACTAAATACTAGAAACTATAAATATAATTCGGTTTAAAAAAAAATGCAAACATTTGAAATTTACAAAAAAAAACCATACTTATTGAATAGTACGACATCCGGTTTCCAAACTTTATCCGGAGGAAGCTGTAATACAGTGATACCACCATAATCTGCTGGATCCCATGTGAGTTGATAATCGGGCCATCGCTATTTGAAATTATAATAATAATGATAATCAATTATACACACACAAAGAGACAAAGAGAAAACAGAAAAAAAACATACCAGATTAATCCATACATTTGATGTCATTATTTGACTTTTTTCATTCTGTTCATTGATCAATAAACAAGAAATTAGAAACAAAAAAAAAATCACATAGCATTAGTGAAAGAAATGATAAATAAAAAAAAAAAATTTTGAAAAATGTGAGAAAAAAAATCATTCAAAATAATAATGATAACCCATGTACGCATGATCAAACGTAAATGATAATTGAAAAAAAAAATTGTCATGTCGATATATTTTGATAAAATGAAAAACCCGAAAACGTATGTCGTAGCCGATAAAATGTACTTGAAAACATTTCTTAAATGGATCTTTTTTTTTTTTTTTTGAATACATTTTTTCAAGACCGAAAATCGAATTGATATAAAAAAGAATGGATTCATTGATCATTCATCAATATATTCATTATTTCTAGTCACTTCTTCATAAAAATGTTTGACTATAAAATGATAAAAATTCTTACAGCCAATAAAATCAATATTTTGACCATATGGTTGATGATTTGTTCGATTATATTTTATTCGACAACAAAATATCCATTACAAGAGACATTCAAAACCGTCTATTCTCGTATACCCGGTTGGATTGAACCTGATGACGATGTTGGTCGTGATATTGTGAGTGTTGAAAAAATCTCTTTTTCCCATTCTTATCAATTTATAATTTTGGTTATTATTAGTTTGATTTGATCGAATCACGAGGATTTGAATATGAATCGCATTTCGTTGAAACCATCGATGGTTATGTATTACAATTGGTTCGCATTGTAAATCCATTCACTAAACATAATCAAACACGTTATCGTCCAGTGATCCTTGCACATGGTTTTGAATGTACAGGTTCAGCATTTCTTATCAACAATCCTGGGCATTTAAATTCAGATGGTACTTATTTGGAATGGGATGAAAATGATAATCTGATCAATGGTTCGGAAAAAATAACAAACACATTGGGTTTTACTTTAAGCTCACATGGACATGATGTATGGTAAGTTTTGTCAATTTTAACCAAAAAATAAAATAAAATTTTAACCGATGTAAAAATGTATAATCTAGCTAGTTTTTCAATAAAACAAAATTTTTTTTTGTGTTATCCTCGACCTTTTGGCCAATTCGGCAACCTTAGGCTAGTGAATTTTCGTGGATCAGTATATTCTTTGAATCACACTAAATTGGATATCAATGATCCAGAATTTTGGCGATTCTCGATGGATGAAATGATACATATTGATCTGCCATTAATGATTGATTATATATTAGCAGCAACAAAATCTGATACATTAGCATATATAGGCTATTCACAAGGAAATATTCTAATGTTTGCATTAATGTCTGAAAATGATCATTATCAACAATTAGTAAAACCATTCATATCACTGTCGCCATCATGGTTTCTAAATAATGCTCGAACTTATCTAATTAATTTCAAAACATTTGTACCTTATCTAAAGTAAGTAGATAATCATAAAATTGATTCAAAATGAATATCACATTTATACTCATTCAACTTATCCAGATTATCAACAGGTCCGTTTGTATTTAGTGATATGAAAACCATACGATCAATTATGGCAACATTTTGTTCAAATCATATGATGCGATATTTATGTTATCTAATTTGTGATATTTCAGCTGGTTATAAACCTTCAGATATTCGTTTGGATCGTTTGCCCGTTTATATTTACAATATACCATCAGGTGCATCCAGTGATAATTTTTTTCATCTTCTACAAATGCTAAATACCGGTAGGGTTAGCCATTATGATCATGGTTTAGAGAAAAATTTATTATTATACAATCAATCTGAACCACCAGTGTACAATGTTTCACGTATCAATTCAACACATTTGGCACTTTTTCAAGCTTCATATGATATTATTGATGCAATCGAAAGCAATATAAAATTGAAGCAACAATTGACAAAATCATTGCTTGAAGATTACATAATTGATAGGCCAGGTTTCGGTCACATGAGTTTTATTTGGAGCAAACATGTTGGCATTTTGATGAATGAGAAAATTCTACATCTTCTTTCATTGTACAACAACAATGATAATCAAACTTATTGACCTTTGTATATTGATAAATTGTCAATTTGTTTTGTTGTTGTTGTTGTAAATATATATACATTTACGTAGTAAAACATATTTGATAATCATCATTAAAAACTTTGATATGCATTGAACAATGAACTGTTTTTTTTTGTACAAAATCATTGAGAAAACAGACCATTACATAGAAATAAACGATTGGATACAAATCTGGATTATCAATTGATTGATTTTTTATCAAAGGAATAAATTTTGATCATAGAGGATGATGATTATGAATTGTTGAATATTTTCATTCATTTTGCACAATTGATTGATATTATCGTTGATAAATAATGTTCAAGCATCTAAAAACCAAAAAAAAAAGTTCCAAATGTTGACCAAAAACAATCAATATTAGTATTAGCCAAAAACAATTTCATTTCATTTGAAAATATCACCAATCAATTTTTTTTCATTACTACTATAACAGCAACGATAAAAAAAATTTGAGAAGAATGAGAAAATAAAAAACGACAACAAAATCGAACCCGGCTTAATCGACTAAAGCTTTTTGTTGTTGTTGTTGTTGTCCGAAAGAGAAGAATGTTGAATGTAATGTTTTTCACACACACACACACACAAACAGTGGCCGAATCCAATAAATCTAATTGAACTGGATTCGTTTTTTATCTTTTTTTTTCTACTGGAATTATTCCGTTATGTGTGTATAGCTATACGAAATGTTTATCATTCGAATAAAATGAATGATGTTGATGATGATGAGTAGTAGTTTTCATAGTTGACTAGATCAATAAATGTTGAATTCCATTCCATTCGTTTGTTTGTTGGTTCGCTGTTTTTTTTTATTCTTGAATGTTTGTGATTAATAAATAAATTCTATATATATATATATATGGATTAAGAGAATAAATAAAAATTTTCATTCTGGTTTTTTTTATCTGATTTGAACATGGAAAATAATTCATTGATTTGTGTGCATGGTGTGTGTCATTGTAATTTGATGAATTTCAGTGTTTTTTTTCTGCGATTGATTTTTCTTTTTTTTCGTTGTTGTTGTTGTTGTTGTTGCTGTCAAATTATTATTATTATTATTATTGCACACAAACAGCAGCAGCAGCTGAAACCAAAATGATGAACGCAGTATTCCGTATTTTTTTTTACTCCAAATTCTTGATGTGACAATGTTTCCGTTGTTTTGTATTTCCATATATATGCAAAGAAGAAGAAACATGTGTTTTCAAGTGTGTTTCCATCACATCATTCAATGTCATTGTTCATGTTTTACATACACACACACAGAATATATATTGAATGAATACATTTTTTTTTCGTCACCAGAATTGTTATATTTATATCAGAATAATATAATATATATATAATACTTACAATATTGATCAATTGTACAAATTGTAATTTGACATTCACTTTGACACTATCATTGATAAGTTTGACAGGACGAATAAGTTTGTTATAATCGCGAAATAGATCACGAACAAGGCGTTCTTCATCTTCCGAACAATTAATAACTGAAGTATTATGAAGAAGAAAAAAAATTTCCAAAAAAAAAAATTTCCAGAAAATTTCCCCATTGAATTGCCATCCATTTGTTTTGTTGTTGGAAATGTAACCATTGAGAGCAAAATTGATTGGAAAAAAGAAAAAAGAAAAGAAAAGAGAAAATTATTACTGAATTTCTTCTTCAACAACAACAAAAAAAACACACATCACATGATTATAACAAGTTAAACTTTTCGTTCATTTCAGTAATAATATTTTATATATATTATTCACAATTCAATTTATTCAAGAAAACCGAGACAGAGAGAGTGAACAGAATTTTTTGTTTCTCTATTTCACATTCTTTTCACACATACAGATTCAACACAGATTTTCATTTTCAATATCATCACCATCATCATCATCATCAGCAGTAAGTGAAATGAAAATCAAACGAGCGAAAAAAAAAAATGGAAAAGAATTTCATTTTTCGTTCACATCATGAGAGTTTATTTTTCCTTAATTTCGTTTTTCTTTTTCATTCACTTTGGTCGATAGAAAGTACCGAAAGAGTTTTGTTTTCACACACACTTATATTCTGGGTTTTTCAAACTTTATTTTATTCTGAATTCAAGTGTACAATGTGTGTGTGTGTGTGTGTGTGTGTTTGTGCTGGGGTAAATGTAAATAAAATTCTGTAGCAAAACAAAACAAAAAAGAGTGCTAAATTGACGCCAACTCGAATTACTGAAACTACGAACCTTTATTTTGTTTCATGTGTTTCAATTTCACAACAACAACAACAACAAAAATTAAGGTAAACTGCTGTTTGTTTGTTTATGTGTGCTCCAACAACGACGAACCATGTGTTTTTCAACAATGTTTTATTTTTTGTCGTTGTGAATTGAAAAAATTATTCATATTTGAAATCTATGCATTTTAAATTCTTCAAATTCTTCGTGTGTTTGTGTCTGCCTGTCTGTTTGTTGTGAGAGTTATTCAAAACTAAGTTAGAATTATATTCAAAAATAGAAAGAAAAAAAAATTGAAATCAAGTTTCTTTGGAATCAAAAAAAAAACACCAACATCAACATGCAAAAAAAGAAAAACTTTTTTTTTCCAAGTGAAACACAAACCCAAAAAGGAAGAATATAGGAATATTAAGAAAAAATTTATGAAAAAAAATCAAAAAAGTCATTTAGCGTATATGTTGAAATAGTTGACTTTGGTGATGTGACAGAAAAAAAAAAAAAAAAAGTGTTAATTATTGCCAAATAGTAAGGCTATTTCGATCGTATCGTATTACCAGTTATTTTTCATCATATCAAATATGTCAGGTTTGTTCGTTTTTCAGTTTTCCAGTAAACATGTAATCAATGAAATTTAATATTTATTTTTTTTGGTTCTCTGGTTCAAAATAAGAAACTGTCTGCATCCAATGATTTATCAGAATGATGCACCCATTAACAATGATTTCGATAATTTGAACTTTTATAGTCAATGAAATTTGAAACAATTTAATTTTGTGAAAAATTGAAACAAAAAAAAAAATCTCGCTATTAGTGTAACGTAGCAAGATGGCGCTACTACTTTACTACTACTACGATTTCACCTTGATGGATCGAATTATCGATTTCTATTTTCGTCTGTATCATTGATTCAATTTTCAATTGTCAATGACTTTGTAGCAAAAAACAAAAACAAAAAAAAAAATAATCAAAAAAGAATTATTTATCCTTAATTTTTAACGATTTAATGAAAAATCGATTCATCATCATCATCATCATCATCATGAATTCACTATTACAATTGAATAGGAAGAATTAATGGTCATTGTAATTGAAAAGAGAGAGCGAGAGACTACTATTTCCATTTGTGGAAAACAACAAAACAAAACAGCTGCATTTTTCATTCTCGATTCTTTTGATCATGTTGTTGTTGCTGCTGTTGTTGTTGTTGTTGTTGTTGTTATTGAAGAATCCAATCAATTTTTTTTATATTGGAAAACAATGAAATTACTTCATTTTACTCATAAAATTCTCGCTCTCTCTCTTTCGTTTTGGAAATGATGTGTTTATCGTGAAAAAAAGTGAAAAGAAAAAAAAATATTTTTGACCATAAGGATATATATATCGTTTATCGTGATCGTGATTTTGATATTTGAATATAAAATGAATGGGTTGTTGAAACAAAACAAAAAAAAAAGTGGAAAGCAAAACAACGAAAACAACAAAAACGAAAAAAATCTTCAACATTATTTACATATACATTCAATTCATTTTTGTTTTTCTTTTATTCAAATTTCCATTTATTCGGATTATTTATTCACAGAAAAGCGATGGATAGAGAGAAAATCAAAATGTTCATTTTCTTTTTTTTTTTTTTTGCTTTCTTTTTATCATTTGAAAAATTTCCCCATTCATTCAGTCAAGTGAAAATTTTTTTTTTTTTTTTTTGGAAAAATGAAATCAACAACAACAACAACAAAAACCGTACACCCACACACAGATAACACACGCAACAAGAAAAGACATCAAATATCGAATGAATGAATGAATGAACCACTAACAACAACAACAACCAAGAAAGTTCAGTTGAACAAAATAATAAAAAAAAAAAACATTGACAAAGAGATGCTGAAGAAAGGATGGATGGATGGATGAATGCTGTTCATTGTCAAAAACAATCACGTATTCATCACACACATATCGCATTTTTTTTTTTTTGGTCTTATTTTTTTCTGGTCTAAGTATTCCATGAAAATATTCATTTCCTGTGAATATTCGTTGGCCATGCAATTATAACCAGTTAATAATAATATTGAGGTTAGAAGAAAATGATGATAATGGTGGTGGTGGTGGTGAAAAAAATTTTCAAATCAACGAGTTGTTTTTGTTTTCGAGCTTGAAAATCTATTTTTATCAATTTGAAAATTTATTGGATTTTACAATGTTCCAGATGGTTATGAAAATTTTTTTTTTTTTTTCCCCATAATGTGATGGCCAATGATTAGTGGCCAACAGAAAATGAATTCTGTTGAACAAAATTCGTAATTAAACAGAGGAAAAACTGAAATGGCCAATAATGTGGTAATGTGGTATGCAAATGATGATGACTGACCATGAACCATAGAACCTTTTTTTCTATCGCCATCGACATTGTTTTTTTCATCATCATGGGCTTTAAATGTTTCCAGAATAATGAGAAAAAAAACCTAACGAGGTGATAGATTTGAACACGTCCTATTGAATTAACCAGAATTTCTCGTTTGTGTGTATGAATTTATTCTGCTCTTTACTCTTGCTTGTATCAAATTTCGTATTTCAACTCACTTTTACGGTGTGTGTGTGTGTGTATGTGTGCGTGCGTTGAATGTATTCAAATTCCTGGATATCCATCACAAGCAAACAAAATGAACTCGAGAAAAAAAATACCAGTATTTGAATTTTATTTTTTTTTTTTGGATTCAAATTTTCCCGGAGAAAAATCCACACCATTTATATATAGGCAACCAATCAATCAACCGGACCAACCGGGATTGGAAAAAAAACCAAAATGAAATGAAAAAAGCAAGAAAAAAAATTATTAACGAATAAAAGAGAGAAAATCGGAAAAAAAGAATCATAAATATGCCGTTAGCAAATGACGTATTTGCGAAAAATAACGTACAGAATATTCCAACTCTCTCTCTCTCTCTCTAATATATACAGTATTCTTGAAATTCTATTCGGACATTCAATTTTATTTTTCCTCAAATCTCCGTTTCTTGTATGTTCTTTTAGTATACAATCATCATCAAAGTTGTATAAAATAGTAAAAAGCAATGATGTTGGCCAACACCACGAAAACGAAAACGAAAAGAAAGAAAAAAAAGTTCTCTAAATGAACGGTGATAAATGAACTTGCAAATTGAATGATGCTGAAGGTTTTTTTTTGTACGTCTCTCTCTCTCTCTCTCTCTCTCTCTCTCTCTCTCTCTTTCGTTTTTCAATTCAAGCTGCCTTCTATGTCTGTCTGTCTGTGTGTGTGTGTGTGTATGATTCTCTAATTGAAAATGAAAACGCAGAAATAAAACCATAACGAATGTACGACAAAGAAAGAGAGAGAGAAAACATGTGAATGTGCGTGTGTATTGAAAACTGCCAAAAAGAATATTATGTTGATGTTGATGATGATGATGATGATCGTATTTTGGGTTTTTTCTTGTTCCAAGAAAAAAAAATAAAAAAGAAAATCCAGATATCCAAAAGATCCAAAACGAGTACAAAACCGATCTGGTCTTTATTCTTTATTCTTTTTTTTTTTTTTTTTTTGCTCTGAAACCTAGAATGTACAGTCTATGGGTATTTTTTTGGTTGTTGTTGGTGCATGTCTGTTTATACTTTTAATAATAATAAATAGCATCAGTAATAATAGTGAAAATGGCAATTGAACCAATCAAACACACACACACACACACATATATACGTGCGCACATACACACACACACACTGCTAAAGACAAAATTGCGACATGATCCATACAATAAAATGAATTCCATGCAATATTATTAGTAGTGTGAATGAATGAAAAGAAAAAGAAAAGAAAAGAAAGAAAAAAAACTTTATTAAATTAAACTAATCATATACAATCTATATAAATGTGTGTGTGTGTGTGTGTGTGATTATTGTTATTATGATGACGATGATGATGATGAGAGAGAGAGAAAAAAAATATTTTCATCTCTCTCTCTCGTTTTATTCATTGATTTATATATGGATTTTTTTCAGTTTTTTTTAATAATGAAAAAAAAAATTTTCGTTTGTTCGTTCGTTCGTTCGTTCATTCGTTACTTTGTGAATTTGATGAGAATTAATTCAGATGAAGAAAAGAAGAAGGAAAAAAAGAAAGAAGAATTAGATCTTCGAGAATATTTTTATTCGCTAATTTTTCAATTCATTTTTTTCGAATTTCGATTTTTTTTTTTTTTTGGTTTCATCGATCCATAATCTCTCGGTATGGCGTCTTTTGTGTGTGTGTGTGTGTGTCC